AAATTACTTCGTTATTATACCTAAATTAAATTATAATAAAAAATTGAATTAAAAAAATTACATAAAAAATGAGAATTTTAAATAGTTAATTTGATACGAATATCGATATATTTTTGTTATGAATAAAGTACTGTATATTGATACATATTACTTAAAATTCAAGATTACAAGTAATTATGCATAAATACAACTTATTAAAGCTCGATGTTTGARTTCGTATAAATAACTGCGGATAAACATAATCAAATACATAATCAACATCTCATTTTAAATATAAAATAGTTAGGATAATAATTGAGTTCTAACATAATAATAAATTATTATCTTTTATAAAAAAAATTAAATTATTAAATAAAAATAAATTACTTTGTTATTAAAACTAAATTAAATTACAATAAAAAATTAAATAAAAAAACTACACAAGAATTGAAAGCTTTTAAATAGTTAATTTGATACTAATAATTTTTATGATATTTTTAATTTTGTATTTTATTCAAAAAACAATATTGTTTTTTCAAACCAAATAAAAACCTATTATATCGACAGAGATAAAAAATAAAACAAACATTAAAATCAAGATATATATCACTGAGTATTCTTTTAATATATAAAAATGAATTTAATGCATCTAAAAGATTCTGAATTATAATAAAGACACACGATTTCTTTGATTTGAAGTTACGATGATGTGATATGTCCCCTTGTGTCCGGAAGACACAATAATCATAGATTTTGAAACATTAATCCAAATATTTATATTTATATTAAAATTAAAGTTAATTCTTGTTCAACGGATGGTCTTACTTTATCTTTTACACTTTGAAATTAATAGCGGTGTTTGGGATTGTTTATTTAAAATAATTTATGTTTTTTTACAAAAGTCTTTATCAACTTATTATAAGTTATAATAGTTTAGTTTCTTCAAAAACTTCTTATTACCGATTTGGCACCGGTATAAACTATGTGTTTCAGTTTTCCGTTCAATTCAAAATTTCAACTTGATAAACAGCAATCTTGTTTACTCATAAGTATATATCTGGTTATTTAGTATAGTTGGTTTGCAAGACTTTTATTCTATCTCAGACTTAAGTTTGAATCATGTTGATGTCATTTTCTTAGCTAAATGATGTCACGGTTTGAAAAAAATTTTGGATCCGTTTTTTTTTTTTTTAATAACCGACCCGGCTTACCCATTTGGAAGTATGACCGAAGTGAACTGATGATCCAGCCTAGTTGCATATTTCTTAACATATACAGACCCTAAAATATTTTTCTTGATGTTTATTATAATCGTTGTTGTATATAGCCATCGTTATTAGAATTTGTTGGAGGTCTGGACCTTTTAAAACTTTAATTTTGGTACCTAAAATGTAAATTTTTAAACATTAAATATCTGGATAACTGGTTGAAGACTAATTCTAGATTAAAAAGACTAATTTTAGATTAAACAAATCCATGTCGCTAACCACGTCAACAAATAATACTGAGTTGGATACCACATCAGCATGATAGCCGGTTAATGCTTCAACCGGTTATCCGGGTACTTAAATATTTAAAATTTTACATCTTAGGTACCAAAATATAAGTTTTGTAAATACGTTATCCAAAATAGGAATCAAGTTAAAGCACATTACTTTTTCATGCAATTTATCATATATATTTGAATAACCTTAGATCGAGTCAAATGAACCCTACTAGGATGAATTATTTTGAAACGTATCCTAAACGACGACTAACTGAATGTCAAGGGATGGACCATGGTCAGACTAAGGTATTAGAGGACCAATACGACCCCTATATAAGATCAAATTCCTGTTAGGACCAGGTAGCGTTTGTCTTTTGCTATAAATACAAGATGCACAATGTGATATCATTTGTAAAGCAACAAAAATGCACATTATGATACATTTCATAAAACAAAGAAAATACATTGAAATACACGTGAAACATTCTGAATGTTATCACTATGGGGTACACTTTGATTCACAAACGTCTTTAAAATACGATGTATATTAGGTAATTGATATACAAGGTAACTAATTTTACCAAAATTATTTCCTTCTAAAAAATTTAATTAAATATTTTGATTAGTTGTCAAAAATAGAATTACTATATTACCCTTTTAGCTTATTTAAAAAAATATATACTTAAATATCTCAAATGAGTGGTTCCCATTGGATCTCACGATTACCATAAACAAAACAGTTATCTCTTTAACGTGAGTTCTATTTTTGTTTTGTAGACATGAGTGATTCAATGTATTTGTAAATGGTTTGAAGTGATTTTAGTGTATTTCTGTACTTTTGAAGGGTTAAATCATAGATGTACATGTTTACGATTTATTCGTTACATGCGTTTTTTACACGAAAACTTAAAAACAAGAAATCCGTTCAAACAATCAAATTGGCTGAATCAGGATATGGATGGTATTTGACTTGTTTCGACCGAGTTAACAAGTTTAATAAATTTGGTTTAAAGTTACAAACTAATCTTAATTACTAGCTCGACCGGGAATTTACCCCTGAATTTCAGGATAACGTACTGGTAAAAGAAATGGTTACATTTATTTCAAAAAGTTAGGGCCGTTTACTAAACGCTTACCTGACATTACCTTACCGGATGAATATGGTAAGGAGCAATAATCTTACCCAGTAAGAGCGAGACAAGGACCACGAGTCTTATGTGCCGTTTACCTAAATGCTTAACCAATAAGTACTTACCATTAGAAGTCAATACTATAATTTATTTTACGTGGTAAGATTGTAGTACATTAAAATGATATCGTATCCAACAATTTATCCGGTAAGCACTTACCCGGGTAAGAGTCGGCACCCTCACTTACCTAGTAAGACTCTCCATCTTTATCATTGCTCTTACCGGGTAAGATTTTTGACCCTTGTTATGTTCATCAAATAAAGAAAATTACCCGGTAAACACTTATCAGGTAAGAGTTTAGTAGACGTCCCCTAAACTCGTTTGAAAAGTTTTCACTATATAATTGCTTATATTTTAGATATTTAACAGACAGTCATTCGTTCAATAACTTTACTAAACTATTTATCAAATTTCATATCGTGATTTGATATAACGAACACTAGGTTAATTACTTCATGCATTTCAAATCAGATATAATAATTGACTCAGACAGATGTGACGTATGATGGTCGAATAATCCAGTTGATTCTGAGAATACCTAAGAATCACCTCTTCTAAAGCTTGTTGATTCAACTAATTAATGCAAACTTTAGGCTCAAACCCGAATTCAAAGAGAACTCGGAATTTGGATGGAAATTAATGAAAATGTCGTCACTAAAAGTCAATTTATCATCACAAACAGTTTATACAGACGACATGTCGTCGTAATAGCTTCTTGCTAAAATATGTCATCGTTAAAGGCGCGTAGCTAAAAATCACTTTTTAGTAGTGAAAATACATAAGTGTCTCAAAACCTGCCCAAACGACATTTTTAGGGTCAGAAAATCTTATATGCTTCCAAGCTATGAATCAACGTATTATGGACCCGAAACAGAAATCCGTATAAAAATTTATGCATGCTTTTTTTTATTAACCTAGATATCCAACCCGCTATGCGAGTCGACTAATCTCAGGCGACCATCTGCTTTGCAGATAGCCCGGAGTCACCGCATTTGAACCTCCGTAACCACAAGGGGATTTTTATTCCTCGTTTAAGTTCAACAAACAGACCCGATCATCACATACACATTATTTAATAACAATATTTATCTAAAATTCAAATATTTCTAAACAATCACAAAATTCACAAGAGATTATGATTCTTTCCATACATCATGAATTGATGTAAATGTTATCAATGAAATCGTATCAGCTAACCAAAGGGTCTTTGGCCTAACAGTATTATTTTAGCCTTCTAAAAGGTCAGAGGTTCAAACCTTACAAAAAATAAGAAGAATGTGCAAGTTCTTTTTTGTTACATTTTCCGTATTTAAATATTATATACTTCAAAAAGAAAAATTGTAACGGCAATTTGACACCACCCTTTTCCTCCTATAAAGCAAAAGTAAAGAGAAAAAGTGAATTATTATTTTTTTAAATTAAAAAATAAAAAAGAAAAGAAAAGCTAAAAAAGAGAGGCATAAAAAAACACACATAAAAGGTTCCAAGAAAAATACAAATCAATTTGGTAGCAAAAAGATTGAATCTTTGTTTGTTTTTGAGATCTAGCCAAGGGAGATGAATGGAGATAATGTCTTGCAAACTTCGCCGATGCAACAATTGCTGGCGGTGGCCGCCGCCGGCAACAACCCTAACCGGCGGTGGAGTCAGCTGACCGCCACCACACCTCCTCCTTCGAACCACTTGGCTAAGGTGTCGCCACCACCCCATTTCTTCCTTCCCCAAAATGAACCACCACCTTCATTGCTTTCATGGCACCATGATCATCATAATAATCAAGAATTCCAAGATTCTTCACTTAGCCAATTGCTCATGTAAACCCTCCCCCCTCTCTCTCTCTCACACACACACACACTTTCACACACAGTATAGGGTAAGGATAAGGAAAAACCGTGAAAAAAATGAAAAAAATGAGGAACACCTTGGTATCATTCATCTGGACGGTAAATGCAAATGTGCATACAAGTAATTTGCAAGCAATTTCTTCATGTGCATAAAAACCAAGAAACAATTTTAATTACTTGTATGCATATGTACATACCGTCGTTACCACAGTGTCCTTCAATCTTTCATTTTTCTGGTTTTCTCTTAACCTCCCTCTATATATATATATATACATAGACTTGGGATCACGTGAGATCACCCTGTTTTCATGAGACCTGCGAGACCACTTTTTTACACGTGAAACTTCAAAACAAAACACTGTGAAGGTTCGGATTTTTCTTTTACCCTCATAATGTTTTGCTTTGAAGTTTCAAGTGTAAAAAAGTGGTCTCATGGATCTCACAAAAACATCCTGACGTAAACCCAACCCTATATACACATATACATATATATATGTATATATGTATATATGTATATATATATATGTATATAACATGCAAATTTGAGTATAAACTTGTGTTAATTTGTGTAGGAGTGGATTGGTGGGGGATGAAGAAGATGATAAACTGGGTTTGACCCAAATGCAGAAAGTGAAGAAACTGGAGAACTGGGAAGAACAAGTGTTGCATGATGATGATCGGAAGCTTTCTGCAAATGGTGGTTCTTCCATGGTGGTGAAACAGGAAGCTTCTTTTGATAGATATGGATATGGGGAAGATGACGATGAATTTGGAGGTGTAAAACCAGCAAATTGGTCTGATCAGATGATCCAATCTTTGTGCCCTAATTCTTGTCTTATCACCAGAAACAAAACAGATGGAAGATCTGCAGCTGATCATGGGTCTTCCGAGGTAATTAGTTCTTGATCTTATCGGTTCCGAAGCTCAATGATTACCAATCTTTTGGCAAATTATTCTTATGAAACTGGGTGTTTGGGATTGCTTATGGAAACAATTTATTGACTTATTCTGGTGACACCGGTGATAAGCACTTTTGAGTGTTTGGATAAACAACTTATACCGGTGCCAAACCAGTAATAAGAAGTTTTTGAAGAAGTTAAACCCTTCTGACTTATAATAAGTTGATAAGTGTTTTTGTAGAAAAGCATAAGTTGTTTTAAATAAGCAATCCCAAGCACCCCTTAAATTGGAATTTTTAGATTTATGAGAAAATTGGTATATATACAGTGTTGTTTTATATGTAAAACGTTGACGATTCTTGTTTTTTCACACACATAAAACAGTTCTGAACGTTTCACACATGTTGACACCGTGAAAATCATAATGAATAAACGCTTCTAATTTTTATAAATATTTCAAATTGGTTAATTTGTATGGTTTGTAATAATGGTCGAGTTTGTAAAAGATTTCTCCTCAACGCAAGTGATGATTACAATTAGGAATAAAACTAGCAGAAACCCTAATGGTAACTTGTGGTTTATTAAGTCCTTAATAAGTAACTTAATCAACGTCTTAACGTCATTTCAAACGCTAAAATCGCTATTTCAATCTTGACTAACGGACCGTAATACATGTAAGCAAAATGAAAGAATGTGAACCAAGCAAGAAAGGAACTAATGAGTTATAAGATGAAATTAATTAAGGGGTCGTTTACCAAACGTTTGCCCGGGTAAGCGCTTACCAAGTCATATTACTTTACCGGATGAATATAATAAGGACCAGAAATCTTACCCGGTAAGAGGGAGACAAGGACCGAGAGTCTTACCCGGTAAATGAGAACGACGATTCTTACCATGGTAAACACTTACTCTGTAAATTGTTGCATACAATGCCATTTTTGGTGGATTAAAGTCTTACACGGTAAGTAAGTGGTAGTGTTAAATTAATTAGAGTTTTTTTTTTTTTTTTTGGTATTTTTATGTTAATTTTTCCATTTTTTTTTAATTTGAATTATTATGATGAAGAGCAATTGCAGTGGTAGTGGTGGGTCAAGCAAGAAAGCAAAAGTTGAACCACCTTCTTCAACCCAATCTACATTTAAGGTGATTTCTTTCATTTTATCCCCCTTTTTTTCCACCTTTATTATAAACCTGTAACAAAATTGGCTTTATAGGATGTCTATTCTATTTTAATATTCAAGATGTAAAGTTTTAAACATTTAAGTACCTAAGTAACATCGGTTGAAGCATTAACCGGTTACCATGTTGATGTGACGAGTGATGTGGTATCCAGTTCAGTATTATTTGCTGAAGCATTAACCGGATACCACATCACTCGGCACATCAACATGATAACCGGTTAACTAATGTTTCAACCCGTTACCCAGGTACTTAAAATTTTAAAACTTTACATCTTAGGTACCAAAATGTAAGTTTAGTACGTTACTCAAAAAAAGAATCAAGTTAAAGTCGTTACTTTTTCATGCAATTTACCCTTCTATAACACACTTTTGAGTAGTGTGATATAAACTCATCTTTTTATATGACACTTTTTGAAATAGACAAATAGTATTATATAAAATTGCTAATACTGCACTTTATTTTAAAAGTGTCTTAAAAAACTTGTTGAAACGTCTAAAAGTACCCTTTAAACTTATTGCAATACTTTTAGATAGACACATTTTGGCTTAATCTAACAAACTAATTCGAATGCTTAACATTTTAGTCGTCCTATAAAACCAATTTTGATGTAGTGTTACCTTATCGGGTGAACATGACAATGACAAAAACTCTACCGGCTACGAGGCATAGTAAATGAAAAAAACTTTTACCTGGTTAGCTTTTACTAGGTAAGAGATGTTTACCAACAGTTCGTTTTGATGACCAAGAATGTTACCCGACAAGGTAAATGCAGATGGTATTTTTATCAGTAAACGTTTGATAAACAACCCTTAATTATTACAGTTTTAATTATAATATTATTAATTTGTTTAATTATAATGTAAATTAAACAGGTAAAGAAAGAAAAATTAGGAGACAGAATAACAGCACTTCACCAAATGGTTTCCCCATTTGGAAAGGTAACTTCTGTTTTTAACTTCATGCAAGGGTGATGTCTGATTGGTTTGAACTTGACTTTAAAGGTCAAAAATGCCAGGAGTTCCAGGTTCAAATCCAAGGAGGAACAAAAATCCCCTTGTTGCCACGGGGGTTCAAATGCGGTGACTCCGGGCCTGGGATTAGTCGGCTCGCAAAGCGGGTTGGATATCGAGGCTAATAAAAAAAATATTTCTTATCAGTCTCTTATGTTTGATTCAGTAAAAAAATAGGACAATTCTAATCGGTTATATCTGAATTAACCGAAAATTTCCAAATTAAAAAAAATCTGAAAGTAGAATATACATTTAGATAGTTTTAAGTGGAAAAACAAAAATTTAAAACGACGTCGCAATTCTGTTTTCGTATTCAAACGAATCAATAACTGAAAACCCAATTAAATATATCTGATTCTGATTATACGCGTGTTCATTATTATCTGTCTAGATCGATTCTTGCTCACTCGTTTTCAAGCCCATCACTTCACATTTTGAAAAGAAAGAAAATTCCAAAAGTTAACCATGTATAAACGATAAGTTGTTTTTGTCTTATATACTGATATATCTCTCGTAATTTACTTGATTATAACAGTTTATGTTTGGTATACAGACGGACACTGCTTCTGTATTATTAGAAGTTATGGGTTACATAAAATTCCTTGAAGCTCAAATTCAGGTTATTTTCTTTATTTTCAACAGAAAATATAGAATCATATGTAGTTTTACACTAAAATCACATATGATTCACAGGATTAAGCTTAGGTTGCAGGCTACGTCATCTGTTGACCGTTAGGCGATGATTTTACACATGATTTAGTTGTTTACACGTTTTTTTAATTTTATTATTGTTCTCGCTTGAAATCCTGTTGAATATTTTAGGCACTCAGCTTACCATACTTTGGGATTCAATTAGCAAACATGACACCCCAAAAACACTCTGTAAGTATATGTATCTTATACAAAATTTTCGACATTTTCGATAGGTTCGGTCACAAACCTGACTTCAGTTGTAAATTAAGAAACAAATTAAGAGTGCACCATGTGTCTCGAACATTCACGAAATATTTATAGTCATGAATGTTGTAAAAAAAATTAGTGATGAATGAGACACATGTTGTACTCTCATTCGTTCCCTAGTTTGCAATTGAATTCCCCCCCCTCTCTCTCTCTCTCTCTCTCTCTCACACACACACACACACACACATATATATATATATATATGAGAGAGAGAGAGAGAGTGTGTGTGTGTGTGACTGATTTTATGAGAAATTTTTATTATCGTGAGAAAAAAATTAGTGATGAATGAGACATGTGTTTATCGAGCTGTATATCATGTATATATGTATGTATATATTTGTGTGTAGGATTGTGATGAAGAACCAAGGAAGAATTTGAAGAGTGTTGGCTTATGCCTAGTTCCAGTATCGTGCACCATGCAAGTCGGTAGTGACAACGGCGCCGATTATTGGGCTCCAGCCAACAACCTTCAGCTGTAAACGGAACTATCTGATCAGCCAACAAAGTTCATTAGCTAGGTTTAGGTTTAATTTGACTGCACAGAGACGTTGGTCATGATGATATGCGTTTTCTTGGTGACAGGATGATTATCTGTCTATGTTATAAGCATGTTATTATCTTTTTTGCATTTTTAGCAATCATGTACATATAAGAGTATATGTACCTAAAACCATGTGCATATTTTTGATTCATTGTGACTGGATCTTTTGCTCATGGAGCTATATGTTTTATTAGGGATTACCAATCAGACAATTTTGACCTTTGGAGTCCAAGCTCAAAACAATCGGGCACCACCCTTATGGTTAGTTAATTTACAGTTGTTGAAGTAAGAAGAATATATTTTAGATCTTCAAAATTTCTACTTTAACGGAATTTATAAGGGTTAAATGTATGAAATAGCAACCTATTACGACATTAATTGTTGTGAACGTCTGAAATCAAATCCAAGGTTAATGGGATATTCCATTACATCTCATTTGGCCTCAACTACTACAACACAACACTTATGGTTTAAATAAAAGACGTTGTGGGTGCTTTGTAAATCTCTCTCTTATATCTCTTATTTTCTCTCTCCTCTCTTGCTGAATCACATTTACTAAAAGTTCAATTGATTTTCAGTAAGTTCGTTATTTGGATCCTTCTTATTTAGGGTGTTCATACTGTGCACATAACCCATAGGTAACTAAAACAATTGGATTCTTCTGTCTGGATGAAGATGAGAAGGATAGATAAGGTGAGAAAATTAATCAGCGATTAAAATTGAGAAAGGAAATAGACATATATATATATTTATAATAACTAAAAGGGTATTCACGTAATTCAGCGAGATACATCTTAATTTTATATTTCATTTTATTCTTTATCTCAGTCGATCTCATAATATGGTCTTATGTGGTTTTAAAAAGGCGATAATGTTTTTATTTTTTACTAAAATATAAATTTGAAGATATAATAAAAATTTGACAAAAATATATCGATATTAATATCAGATTAACTATTTAAAATTTCTTTGTTTTTTGTGTAATTTTTTAATTCAACTTTTTATTATAACTTAATTTAGATTCAATAACAAACTAATTTATATTTGGTTAATAATATAATTTTTTATAAAGATAATAGTTAATTATTTTGTTACAACTCAATAATTATCCTAACTATATTTTATCTTTTAAAATAAGATGTTTATCCTCTATTTGATTATGTTTATCCGCAATTAGGGAGTGTTTGGGATTGCTTATTTAAATCAACTTATGTTTTTTTGTAAAAGTGCTTATTAACTTATGTGGTATCAAACCGCAATTAAATAAAACACGGTTAAAATTGTAAACTGGTAATAAACAGTTTTTCATAAGTCATGAAAGATTAACTTATCAAAAACAGCTTATTACCAGTTTGGCATCGGTATAAGCAGTTTTTTTTCTTATCCAAACACCAGAAAACAACTTATCACCGGTGTCAGACTGAAAAAGTTAAAAAACAACTTTTATAACTAATCCTAAACACCCCCTTAGTTACACGAATTCAAACATGAAGCTTTAATAAATTGTACTTACACACAATTTACTTGTAATATTGAATTTTATGTAATATGCATCAATAAACAGTACTTCATGTATAAAAAACGGTTTTTAAGAATTTTTGTCAAATACTTTATAATATAGTATAGATAATTGACTTTCATAAAAAAATAGTTTGATGAGTTGTCATCATATTAAATTACTAAATTAACCTTTTATGTTTAATTAGTAAATCAAATGAGTAGACTATAATATAGGGGTGTTCACAGTCCTGTTTAGACCTTTAATCTCTAAACCACAAACCAAAAAAAACAATGGCAGTTTAGAAAAAATCTAAACCATACGATTTGGAAGCAAGTTACAAACCGATTAAACCGGACCATAAAAAGACGGTATGGTCTGAAATTAATCATTTATGTTTAATTAATAAATTAATTTAGTAAATCAAATTAGTGGACTAGAATAGATCTCACAATTTTATAGATTTCCCAAATGATCAAGCCCCAGAAGTAGTATATATTTTAAATATATTTTCTGTTATAATAAATATTTTATATCTTAAAGCATCTCCAATAGATTCTATAATTTCTCTAAGGTCAAAAGTCAATTCTCTAAAAAAATTACATTCAAATCCAACAGATTTTCTATTTTGAAGATTTCAACATTAATTATATTATTAAAATATTTTACGATTTTATCATCCCAATTTCCCGATCTCTTAAAAAACTATATAAAATAAATATAATTTAATCTCATTGATGGAAATAAAAAAAATCATATTTTCTCCTAAAATAAAGTTTTAGAGAATTCTCAAAACTTAGAGTTTCTTTTGTTTTTCTATTTTAGAGAACGATATAATGAATCTTTTATAGTAAAATAGAGAACATAATCTGTATTTTCTCTATTTTAAAGAATCAGTTGGAAATGCCTTAATTAATCTGTTTTAAAGAATCAGTTAGAGATGCACTAAAATCTAGCCTTACTTTATGGTTGATTAATCTTTATAAATTAAGAAAACAAATAGATTAATTTAGAGCCAATGATAATGATTTTTATTAATGACTAGAAGGGTACACGCACAATGCAGCGATATATACCTCGATTTTAATGTTTTATTTTATTTTTTTGGTCATCTTCGATATTACAATATGAATTTATGTAGTTGTAAGCAAGCGATAATGTTTTTGTAAAATATATCTTTAAAGATATAAAAAAAAATTAAGAAAAATACAAAAGTTCTCATTTTTTGTGTAATTTCTTTAATTCCATTTTTTTATTTTAATTTAATTTAGGTTTAATGACGAAGTAATTTGTTTTTGGTTTAATAATATAATTTTTATAAAGATAATAACTAAATATTCTGTTAGAACTCAATAATTATCCTAATTATATTTTATATATATTTAAAATGAGAATTTTATCATGTATTTGATTATACTTATCTAGAGTTAGTTACACGAATTCAAATATAAAGCTTAATAAATTGTAATTATGCTATAGTTACTTGTAATCTTGAATTTTAAGTAACATATATCAATAATCAGTACTTCATGCATAAAAGATGGTTTTTAAGAGTTTTTGTCAATTGCTTTATAATATAGTATATATAGATATTGTTAATTAATTCATCCAATAATATAATTTCATAAAAAATAGCACACAAGAACTTGTTGGGATTCTATAGTTTGAGCACATGGGAACGATTTGGTACAAGTTTTGGTGATTCCATTTTGAAGTCAAACGTAAAGAAGGATCATTCTTTTTTTAATAAGAAATTATATTTTTATATAAAAAATATTTACCGGACTTAAATTTATAAGACTAAATATATGTGTATTATATCTAAAGGTATTGTAATAAGTTCAAAAAACAAAATTAAGGACACTTTTAGCTCTTTTTATAAGACACTTTGAATAAGTGTTTTATAAAACAAGTGTCGTATAAAAAGATATGTTTATAGAAACTTTTCAAAGTATCATATAAAATGGCTAATAAGACATTTTGTTTCAAAAGTGACATAAAAAGTTTGCTAAAACACACAAAAGTATCCTATAAACTTATTACAACACTACATGACACACAAATGTCTATTAGTATCCTATAAACTCGATTTTGTTATGGTGAGGCTTTTTGGAACTGGGTCTAGACCCAGACTTGTCCCCAAAATTTTGGCTCGATCTGGCTTTGAAGTCCGCTAGTCTGGAGCAGGTTTCGGGATCACTAAACATGGGCTTTTGGGTCGAATTCGAATAAGACTTCGGGCTTGGGCTTTTTTGTACATTTCTAAGCTCGAGTTACCCTTTTTGAGTACCGAACCCAAACCGGAATGTGCCAGTAAATGTTCTGAATACAATCGGACTCACTTTTTACATCCAACTTTTTATTCTGTTCGGTTCAACTGGATTGGGTTGGGTTTGTAGTTTGGTTTTGGTTAATTGAGTGGAACAAAAAAATATTTTTCCTACCATAATTAGGACTGTAAACGAACCGAACGTTCAGCGAACCGTTCATGAACCGTTCGGCGGAAAGTTCGTTTATGTTTGTTTATTTAATAAATGAATGAATATGAACACATTTTTTTGTTCGTTTAGTTAAACGAACGAATATGAACAAGAGTCTCGTTCGTTCATTTATGTTCGTGAACGTTCGTTCATTTACCGTTCGTTTATTTACCGTTCGTTTACGTTCGTTCATTTATGTTCGTGAACGTTCGTTCATTTACCGTTCGTTTACGTTCGTTCATTTACCGTTCGTTTACGTTCGTTCATTTACCGTTCGTTTACGTTCGTTTATATTCGTTCGTTTATGTTTGTTTATATATTAAATTTAATATATAATCTTTTATTTATTTACTTTGAATTCAAATAATATTTATTTATGTTCGTTTACGTTGGTTTAGCCCGTTTGTTTATGTTCGTTTGTTTACGTTCGTTTAGCATGTTAACGAACAAACATAAACGAACACGAACACACCTTATTTCTAAACGAACGAAGACGAACACAAAGATTTTCGTTCGTTTACCGTTCGTGTTTGTTCGTTTGTTCGGTTAAGTTAAACGAACGAACATGAACAAGCCTCCGTTCGTGTTCGTTCGGTTCGTTTACAGCCTTAACCATAATCAAGGAGATTAGTGTGATAAAGTCTGATAAATTATTAAACTATCCATCATATTTCAGTATTTTGATCCAGATTTTCTGTCGGTATACAAAATTAGAACGATTTTATAGCTGCCACGTGTCAATTGAATCCGCCAAGCAAGCATCTGCCACGTGTAAACTCAATCCTAAAACCGTAATTACAATATCGTTGACGGACTTTGTCAACTTTGAAGACATTCGATCACTTACGTTTCACTCTTCGAATATTATTGATTTTCCACATCTTGGATTATTAAAACCCCCAAAAAAGCGAACCTTCCAAGTCAAATTGATGAGACCTATTCAAACACTGCAAACCAAGATTCAAAATAACGTGAGACATGATGTGACGGCGAGATCAAATCTTAAGTCTTATATGTCACGATAAATTTGTATGTCATGTATAGAATTATATATTTAAATATATGTTTTGTATATATATTATCTAATCAGATAATGATATTAAAAAATGTACATTCTTATTAGAA